TTTCTTACTATTAGTAGCAGTAGTAATAGCACTTGTTGAACTGTCATTGCTATTTCTGTCTTTCCCATTTTCATTATTGTTATTGTTATCATTGGTATTGTTTTTGTTATTATTTTTTTATCATGGTTACTGTTATTGTTATTTTATTGTTATTATTTTTGTTATCATTATTATTACAATAATTATTTTTATTATCATCATCATTCTTCTGTGTGTCCTTTCGTCTGAAGGTTCTTGAAAACTCAGATTTGCAAGTGAGCTTTATTGGTGTAAAATACCACACACATCAAAAGTACAAACGAGCAGGTGCAGGACAGAACAAATGCAACCTGCAGTCTCCTCGGGCTCAGCTGTCTCGCTCTCTGATTGGCTGAGGGGATTGGTGCCTGCATGGAATGTCCGAGGGACCATGACTATAAAACTAAAGAAGGATGCAGGGCTTACAAATAAAATGTTACATAAACAAATGGTACACTGTATATAATAATAATATCTATACACCTCCCCCTCCCTTTACGCTCGTAGTGGTATCTCGAGCGGATACGGGACTCTTTGCTACGAGTCTGGGTGAGCGACGTGGGGTAACGGGAGGAACATGTAACGACCCTGTTTCCTGGTCTTGACAAGGGGACACAGGGGACAAGAATGAGGGTTCACACTTGGGCACTGGCACTGGGCGGAGATGTCTGCGGTTACGCCACCATACGCGTCCACTGGGTAGTCGCACTTCATACTGTCGGGACCTACCACAGCCCATGACTACACCGACTTTATCCCATCGGAGGGATTTGTGGTCCTGAATGCGGACACGCTGGCCTACGGATAGCCTTGGAAGAGGACGGGCATGGCTATCATAGAGGCTAGTCACTTGGTCGGCTTGGGCAGCAGCGCGGCGGTCCCAGTCGTCAGACTTGGTCTGCCACTCTGCAGAGAAGGACTGAGGGTGGGCAGGGACAAAAGTCCGAAGAGGATGGCCATACAAAATCTGGGCAGGAGAGCGGCCAGCAGGGGTTGGGGTGTTCCGGAGCTCTAGCAGGCCCCGGTCGAACGCCTCACAGTCGATGTTGCCGTCAGGCGCCGTCTTGAGGATCAAGTACTTCACGGACTTGACCGCAGCCTCGGCGTGGCCATTAGACTGTGGATAGTGTGGGGACGTCACAAGGTGGTGGACACCCCAGCGTTCAGTAAATCTTCTGAATTCCTCACTGGTGAATGGGGCCCTCCATCGGTCCTGAGGCGGACAGGTACACCGACTTCTCGGAAGTACCGGCAAAACATGCGCATGACCTTAGTTGCGGTTGTGTCCTGACCACAGGGAGTAACCACGGGCCACCCTGAGAGTCTGTCTGCAATGACCAGGAAAGACTTCCCAGCTACTTGAAAAAAGTCAGCGGACACAGACTCAAAGGGGCGTGATGGCTGGTCATCGCATAGGTAGGGTTCCTGCTGTTGGCTGGGCTGGAGACGTTGGCAGGAGTCACACGCTTCGACTGTACTCTTTATGTCAGAATCGATGCGACGACGGGTGGCTTCGACTCCTCTGTGACTATCATGGAGTCAAGGTGCGACGTCGGAGTGTAGCAGGAACAACGATGCGTGGACCATGTAGCACAAGCTCTCCATCTGCGTACAGGCTGTCCTGCAATTTCCAGTACGGGAGGATGGAGGCGTGTAGGCTGTAGCGGTTGGAGGGAAATCCTGTGGTGACGTACTCCAGGAGGCGGCGGTAATCTTGGTCCTGTGATGCGACGGCGCGAAGCTCCTGTAGAGTCCTGTCGTCGTCGAGGATAGGAGCTGTGGCCTGGCCGTCTGTTGAGGTAGCATTCGTAGAAACAAGGGACCGGACGTGTGCAGCTGTCATGGTACACTCTTCTTCGTCGTCGAATGTGGGGTGGCTGACAGGTGCCCGAGAGAGGGCGTCAGGGACGCACAAGGTCTTGCCGGCGCGCCACACAGCGGTGAAGACATACGGAGCCATCTTCACTCTCAAACGCTGGAGTCGGGGGTTTTCTATGGCATCCAACGTGTAGTGGTTCAGGATTGGGATCAATGGCCTGTGGTCGGTATGAAGGGTAAAGTGCTGGAGGCCGGCAAGGTACAGGCGGCACTTTCCCATGGCCCATGAAGCAGCCAGCATCTCCAGCTCATTGTGGCGTAGCGTGACTCGGCGTCGGTTAGAAACCGTGAGCCACACTGGACGAGCCGGAGCTGGCCGTGGCCATGTTCCTGAAATAGGGCGTATCCCAGACCATAGAGGCGAGAGGCGTCAGTTTGTAGAGTCACTGGCAGTTTCGGGTTGAAAGGAGCCAAGACTGGGGGCGATAGGAGGGCAGCCTTGACCTTCCCGAATGCCTGGTCATGGTCTGGGGTCCAAGTGAAGGACCGTTTTGGTGACATCAGAGGGCGGAGAGGCTGGGCAGTGGCCGCAATCTCTGGTGAGAAGTCGGCCAGCTGATTCACAAGACCCATGAACGACCGGAGGTCCGTAATATTGGAGGGTGTAGGGTAGTCTCGTATGGCTGCAACCTTTTCAGGGTCTGCAGCGATGCCCTCTGGTGAGATGTTATATCCACAAAAACTGACCTTGGTGGCGGCTACCATGAACTTGTCCTTGTTCAAGGTTATGCCATGGGCGCGACACCTGGATAGCATCTGGAAAACTCGTCGGAGGTGAGTCGGTAAATCACTGTCGAAGAGGAGGATATCATCCACTACCTTTACGCAGTTGGTGATGCCTTGCAGAGCCAGGTCTCCGCGAAGACAGTAGGCATCCCAGTAGCGGCAAATCCCATAGGTCCTCTGCAGTGGTAGTAGCGCCCATGAGGTGTTATGAACGTCGTGAGGTGACGGTCTTCCTCCGCAAGGTCCATTTGCCAATATCCATGCAATGCATCTGCCTTAGTAAAGAACTTGGCAGATGGAGTGATGGTGCGGATAGCGTCAGCGGGTGTGGGCGATGGGTGTGTAGGCCTGGACACTTGGGAGTTAAGGCGTGTGAGGTCCACTGTGATGCGTACACCATTGCCAGGCTTAGGTACCAGGACCATCGGATGGCACCACTCGGAGGGCTTGTCACCGACGGGCGAAATGATCCCTTGCTGCACCAGGGAATCAAGTTCCTCCTTGACCTGGTCCCGGTAGGCGAAAGGTATAGGTCTAGGCGTGTGTATGGCAAAGGGTGTCGCACCTGGCTGAAGGTGGATCCTCATTGGTGGGCCAGACATCTTTCAGTGGCGTAGTCTGGAGGTCAGTCTTAGACACAAGGACGTCGCTGAAGTGTTGTAGGAAGTAGGTCCGAGCAGTAGTGGGGGACGACATTGCCGAGGCAGGCATCTGCTGTGCACATCTGTTGACATGGGTCACAGAGAGGATGGGCTTTGGGAAATCTGTAGAGACGATGGCCAGGTCCACGCAGTGGCCATACGAGAGCAGAGGTGTCTGGATGTCCTCGTGAACGTGGACAATGGCCTTGCTTGACCGAGCTGGAAGGTGGTCTCGAAACAACCCAAAGCTGGAGTCATGGATGACCCATCTGCTGTGAGGACGTCAGTCGCAGGCGGGGGTGAAAGATTGCATCTGGGGATTCCCAAGGAGTCCAGGTGCTTCGGGCCAATCACCGTGATATCAGCTCCAGTGTCAGGTAGCATCAGCAGTTGGGAGGACTTTGAGCCATAGGACAGGGTGACATTAACTGGCTTAGGGGTCCTGCCGGTGGACACTCTACGTGCTCTACGAGTCTGGTTGGTAGAGGTCTTCCTGGTGGACTTGCAGCACTTGGCGAAGTGACCCTGTTTGTGGCAAGTGGTGCATTCAGAGTCCTTTGCTGGGCACCGGGGCGTACGGTGCCAATGACCCTTGTACCCACAATTTGGGCAGGTACTATCTTTTGCTGGGCAATGTCCCACGGCATGTTGACGGGTACAAGACCTACAGGAGGCGGGCGAGTCCTTGGTCAACGGTGGAGACTGACAGCGTTGAGGCGTGTGCTTGGTCGTAGCTGTCATCTTCTGGCGGCGTTGGTTCCTCTTGTATGAAGAGAGGATGTTGAGTTAGCTGGTGGCAGCAACGATAGCAGATGCAGCGGCCCTGGAGGACTCAAAGGTTCTGCACGTGACAAAGTCATCTAAAGATGCCTGGCTGTCGAGGGAGACAAGGCGCTGCACGAGTTCCTCTTCACGCACGCCCATCAAAAGAATCATCTTAAGCTGTGTTGCAGCACAGGTAGTGCGGTCCCTGTGCAGAGTTCAACTTCGTCAGCTAAGTCCTTCATGCGGGCGTAGAAGGCAGAGAAGGCTCACCAGGCGTCTGCTTGCAGGAAAGGAGTTCCCGGCGTCGTAGGGCTTCGTTCTGCGAGTTGCGGAAATACTGCTGTAAAGCGTCGAGGACTTGGACTACTGGCATGGATGAGTCAGGAGGTATTGCCAGAGTGTAATGCAGCAGCCGCTGAACTTCCAGCGAAACACATGTGCGGAGGTATATGTGTTGTGTGGCTGGGGGTAGACTGGAGACCCATTAGCACAGAATAGTCCTCGAACTTGCGACGCCACTGACGGAACAGTTGGTAGGTGACGTCGGACTGTAGCTGAGGAGGGCTGGGTATCATAGGTTTACCCATCCAAGGATTAGCCCGTGCGGTGGAGATCCTGACGTGGTGGCAACAGGTGGAACAGGCGAAAGCTGGTGAGCAGCTGGTGCTTGCTGTTCTGGGCTGGTTTGCTGTACCTGGAGGGGCTTGGGAGCTATCATGCTGAGTAGCTGCATGAACGTTCGTCGTTTAGCTGTCGCTGTTGCTCCATTTGAAGACGGTATTCTTGTAGCTCTGCTCGTCGTGCTTCTTCGTCTTGTCGTCGTCTTTCCTCGTCAGAAATGCGGGTGACTTGGAGGTAGTGGATCAAATACTGCAGCTCTTGGTTTGGACTGTGCTGCGAGGGGCTGGAAGGGTGAGGGGTGAGAGGGGGTGGGAGGGATGGTGGTACATCGGCCTCACCACTCTCAAGGACGTTTGGCTCACCGCTGTCATCACTACCATCACCCAAGTCATCATTTCTGGCCTGAAAATGGTCTTCCTGAGGCGTAGCCATATCGAGTTTGGTGTCTTTGACGAGCTGATCTTACAAACAGTGCAATTTTAGTGCCTGAAATAGTGCAACGATTCGTTCTTGGGTGTGAATATCGAAAAAAAGAACGAATTCTTCTACAGTTCGTGGTAAGTGCATGTGTGGCGGGGGAGGTTTTGCGCGTTGCTGGAACGGCCGCGCTCGGTGATGGCGGTTGAGGCGAGAAGTCCAGTCAGTCACCGATCGGAACTCGGAGGGGTGGACAAGGTTCGTGCGCTCTCCGGGTTGGCGGGAAAAATGGAGTTGCACCAGGGGTGATGCTGAGACTCCCGCAAACCTTCCCCACACTATATGACAACACTCACTGCACTATAACACTGTCGGACACTGTAAGATCCGCGACGAAAATTCAAATTTAGGAGGCGGGAACGACGGTTGCTAGGCACTGAGGGGAGCAAATCGGCGCCTTCCAGGTTCACTTGCAGAGTTTGCACTACTCACTGCGCCATCTTCTGTGTTCTGTCGTCTGAAGGTTCTTGAAAACTCAGATTTGCAAGTGAGCTTTATTGGTGTAAAATACCACACACATCAAAAGTACAAACGAGCAGGTGCAGGACAGAACAAATGCAACCTGCAGTCTCCTCGGGCTCAGCTGTCTCGCTCTCTGATTGGCTGAGGGGATTGGTGCCTGCAAGGAATGTCCGAGGGACCATGACTATAAAACTAAAGAAGGATGCAGGGCTTACAAATAAAATGTTACATAAACAAATGGTACATTGTATATAATATCTATACAGTCATCACCATTATCATCATCATTATCAATATCATTATTGTCCTTATGTTTTTGTTATTATTGTTATTATTATTATCACCATTATTCTCACCATCATTATTTCTACCATGATTGTTAGTACCATTATTGATATTGAGGTTATTGTTATTATTAATATTGATTTAGTCATTACTGTTATTAGTCAGTTATCTTTGCCATATTTACATACTTATAATCATTGTTATATTCACAATCACCATTAAATCAAACATCACTAAAATCCAAACAGAACAATCACACTCATCACTAATCAATAATCATTATCCATCCCTCATGTCATAGTCATCGCCAGTCATCACAAAGCTTATCATCCAATGTCATAGTCATCGCCAGTCATATCAATCATAGTCATCGCCAGTCATCACAAATCATCATGTCATAGTCATCGCCAGTCATCACAAAGCTTCTCATCGCCTTCCCCTCATTCATAGTCATCGCCAGTCATCACAAAGCTTCTCATCGCCTTCCCCTCATGTCATAGTCATCGCCAGTCATCACAAAGCTTCTCAATGTCTCAGTCATAGGTCATGTCCATAGTCATCACAAAGCTTCTCATCGCATGTCATAGTCATCACAAAGCTTCTCATCGTCATGTCATAGTCATCACAGCTTCTCATCATCATAGTCATCACTAGTCATCACAAAGCTTCTCACCACCTTTCCTTCATGCCCATAATCACCACCAGTCAACACAAAGCTCATCATCTTCCCGTCATGTCATAGTCACCGCCAGTCATCACAAAGCTTCTCATCGCCTTTCCCTCTTGCCATAGTCATGTCAAAGTCTTTTATCGCATCTCGTGTATGACATAACCATCGCCAGTCATCACTAATTATCATTTATCACTACAAAGTGTTTAAGCACCGTCACTTTTCCCATAACCATCCCCGATCATCACAAAAACCCTCAACGCCTCTAGCCTACGACACATTCATCACGAGTCATCATAAAATCAATCATCACGATTCGCTCATGCCATAACCATCGCCAGTCATCATCACTAACAACCACAAAATCACCAGTCACCACTAGTCACCATAAATTCATCACCAATCATAATTAATCACCATTGAATCAACACCAGTCATCACTAATCACCACAAAAATCGCCACTAATCATCATTAATCATAAAAATCACCACCAATCATTAATCACCACAAATATCACCAACAATCATGACTAATCAACACGAAAATCACCAATCATCAATAATTACCAAAAAAATCACCAGCCATCACTTTTCACCACAACATCAACACCAATCACCACAAATCATCACTAATCACCACGAAATCACCAATCATCACTAATCACCACGAAATCACCAATCATCACTAATCACCACGAAATCACCAATCATCACTAATTACCACTAATCATCCCTAATCACCACAAAAAACACCACCAATCACAAAAAAACACCACTAAACATCACAAAATCCCTCATCACCTCCCCTTTTTACCTCAGTTCCTCCAGCGGCGTGTGATGACTTCGAAAGTCCTGCGCGCCCTCCTGTCGGTGTTGGGCGGGAACCAGGCCTTCAAAGTCATCGCCGTCACGCGCCTCACGCCCATCCCTTTCGGGCTCCAGAATGCGGTGTTTGCGGTGAGTAGGCCTACCTTTTTTGGTGGTGATGCTGGTGGTGTTTTACAGGTAGGTTATGTTTTTTTTTTTTCGTTTTTTCGTGTTTTTGTTTTGTTTTGTTTTTGGTGTTGTCTCGTTTCTCTTTCTAGTTTTTGTACGGATTTATTTTATTCTTTGTTTTTTTTATCTTCATTTCTTTCTCTCTTCTTTTTCTTATTATCCTCCTCCTATTTCTCCTTTTCCTCCTCCTCTTCCTCCTCCTTATTCCTCTTCCACCTGTTCCTTCTCCCTCCTCTGTCCCTCTCCCTATCCTCCTCTTCCTCCTTTATCTCCTCCTCTTTCTCTTTTCCTCCTCCTCTTCTCCTCTCCAGCTCTTTTTTCTCCTCATTCTTCGCCTCCTCTCCTCTCCTCCTCCTCCTCCTCCTCCTCCTCCTCCTCCTCCTCCTCCTCCTCCTCCTCCTCCTCCTCCTCCTCTTCCTCTTCTTCTTCTTTCTCCTCCTCCTCTTCCTCCTCCTCCTACTCCTCCTATTCATATTCCTGCATATGCCGCGAGTTCTATACTAAATCGAGTAAACAATGTCAATAAGAATTATGAAATTCGATCGTGAATACCGAAATATATGATAAATGTAATAAAAACGCTACCGACAAGTGAAATAAATGATAAATATAATTAAAAAACGCTACCGATAACTGAAATAAATCATATCATCAAAGCGATATTAACAATTGAGACGTAAAGAAAAAAAAGAAAAGAAAAGAAAACATCATCACTTCTTACGCAAGCGAATGACGCAATCACACAAATTCTTGGTCTGTTGGGGCTGCATTAACAAAGGAGCCGTGATCACATGATGAGAGATGTCTGGTCGTGTGTAGTGGAGAGGGGCGACTGGAGAGGGAGAGGAAGAGGAAAAGGGGAGATAGAGAAGGGGAGGCAGGGAGGAGGAAGAGGAAAAATAGAGGGAGAGGAAAAAGGGAGATGGAGAAGGGGAGGGAGAGGGAGAGGGAAGTTGGGAGGGATGGAGGAGCAAGGGAGGGAGAGGGAGAAGGAAGAGGAGAAATAGAGGGAGAGAGATTTTGGGAAAGAGGCAGGAAGGGGAGCGAGAAGGAGAAGGAGAGAGAGCGGGAGAAGTGGAGGGAGAGGAAGAAGGACAGGGAAAGAGGGAGAAAGACAGGGAAAGAGGAAGAGGGACATGGACATGAAGGTGAGAGAGGGAGGGAGAGAGAGAGAGAGAGAGATTGCACACCACAATGAGAATTCAATTTATCAAAAAATAAAGTTTTAAACCAGTTTATACCACCTGTTACCACTTATCAGGGCGTGAATAATTTTATAGGAGAAAGGGTCAGATTGCGAAACATCCCATGAAAGAATAATGGCCATCAGATACATTCTTCATTTTTTTTTTCTTTTTTTTTTTTTTTTTATTAATGTCAGAAAGTGATTCATATTTCGGGGAACGCGAGAATATCAATTTGCTCATATTATCCTGTCAGTCTTATTAGTGTATTCCACAAACCCACACTACAAAATCACAAAACCACAGAAAAGTACGCATTATTTCTCCCACCTTCCGTAACTGACAAACCAGGAGGTAACGAAACAAATGAACCGCGGGAGGCGCACGGAAGACGCCTCCAAACGGCGAGTATTGGCAGGCAGAAGCGACCTTTTACACATCAAATGGCAGATCGATTCGCTGCCAGGCCGAACACCCGTTCCTGATAGGTCACCTGGAGGAGGTACAGACTCTCTCCTCTTCCGTGACATAAGGCTGGAAGGGAGAAGTTCGGGGGAGTGTCGTCATGGAATGCCATGGGGGGGGGGGTTACGTCGGGCTATGCAGGGGTGGGCTGGTGGTTTGATAATGCTGTTGGTTAATGCTGTTTCTTTCTTTTTTTCTCTTTTTTTTTGGGGGGGTGGTAATGTAGTGGTTGTTTTGGTATTGTTTTAGTTTCACGCTGTTGTTGTTTTTAATATAGTTATATAATGTCAGGCATTGTTATGAAATGTGGTGTTTTGATATCATGTTATGTTATGTTGTTATTGCTTCTATGTTATTATTAAAAGCCATGCAATTTTTATATTTTTATATTTTCTTATTATTGTCAAATATTATTCATTCCGGAATGTTATACAGGTATTATTTTCATGTAAAATGCTATGCACTTGTTTTTTGTATACATTATTATAGAATGCTATGCAGCTTTTTATTTTGATACTTGTAAAGCAACCTGTACACTGGAAAAAAAAAAAACATGCCTCCTTGACGAACGAAATGTTGACAAATATCGGTGCGGCTTTTTGAATAATAAATGATAAATCACTTTATCAGGATGCCGAGTGCGGTGTCAAGGCTACACCACCACTTTGCGTTGAAGTTTGAGGGTAACTAAGCTTCATGACCCGGAATGGAGGCTATTATATAATAGGTTATGAGGTGTAATAGGTCGTGATGTTACAGATAGCTTGCTTTCAGTGAGTTTATACCTCATCTTGGTGTAGCGATAGAAGAAATTTATATAAAGCTGGTATCTGAAAAAGAATACATGTTTCTATTCGGGTTTAATTTTTTTTAACTCTTTTTTCTTTTTTGGACGGCGATGGGCAGATGATAATTGAATTTATAAATCCGGTGTCCCTTGAGGTTAAGTAATCTAGATTGGGATATTTCAGTTTTTTCAGGCTATCTGGAACTGACTGTACTTTAATATTTGTTAATCATTGTCACGTGGTATATATATATATATATATATATATATATATATTATATATATATATATATATATATATATATATATATATATATATATATTATATATATATATATATATATATTTATGTTTATAGAGGGGGGGGGGGGGGAGAGAGAGATAGGGAGCGAGAATGAGAGGGAAATAGAGAGAGAGGGAAAGAGAGATAGAGGCAAAGAGAAATGGATAGAGAGGAGGAGAGAGAGAGAGAGAATGTGTACGTTCGCATGCACTTATACCTCCTGCATATGTCAGAATCTATATCCACCATCGAGAGATATGCTAACATGTACATTCTTTACAATACCCACACATACATATAGAAAATAAGAGAAAAGAAAGAAAATAAAAAAAGATAAATCACAGAAAAAGAAAAAAATATATATCGTCACTGTGAAATACAGAATCGTAATTAGTGGATATTTTCTTTTTTCCAAAGAGAGAGAGAAGAGAAAAATGTTATTGTGAGAAAAAGAACATGAGACCACCCGTGACAGAAAGAGAAAAGGAGATTTCAGTCAAAAAAAAGAGACGAAGGGAGACAGAGAGAGAGAGAGAGACTCAACCCCACTTTTGAATACACAATACTAATAGTATATTTACATAACACCACGACAACCGTTGCAAATTATAAAACCTGAGAAACATTAATAAAATTTAAAACCTGAGAAGTATAAATTAAATTTAAAACCTGAGAAACATTAATAAAATTTAAAACCTGAGAAGTATAAATAAAATTTAAAACCTGAGAAGTATAAATAAAATTTAAAACCTGAGAAGTATAAATAAAATTTAAAACCTAAATTTTAAAACCTGAGAAACATTAATACAATTTAAAACCTCAGAAGTATAAATAAAATTTAAAACCTGAGAAACATTAATACAATTTAAAAACATAAGAAACAAATAAATATTAAAACTTGAGAAACATTAATAAATTTAAAAACATGAGAAACATGAATAAAGATTAAAACCTGAGATTTTTTTAACAGAAATCTAAGAAACAATAGAATTTAAAAACTAAGAAATATCAATAAATTCAAAACCTAAGAAAACATAATATGTAAAATCTAAGTAGAATTAACAAAATTAAAAATCTGAAAAACATTTTTTTTTTAATTAAAAACCTGAGAATTAATTAAAAAATAATAAAACCTGATAAACAATAAATTGAAAACCTAAGAAACGTTAAAACAAAACTTAAAACCTGACAAACATCAATGAAATTTAAAACCTGAGAAACACTGATATCGTACACGTATACGTACCCGACTTTTGAAGACACAACCAATAATTCAACATGCCTAAATAGCCCACGGAAGCATTAGTGAAGAATAAAACTTTTATTTGAAAGTTGAGGCCGTTATATTGCCATGACGACCGGCCCGATGAGAGACGGCCTGCGGCTTATAAGAGACAGGGAGGATTGTGGGATCTCGCTTATCTTCTGTTGGAACGAGTGCGTGGAAGAGGAAGAGGAGGAAGAAGAGAAGGAGGAGGAAGAGGAGGGGGGAGAAGGAGGAGGAAGAAGAAGAGGAGGGGGGTTGGAGGAGGAGGAGGAGGAAGGTGAGAATGAGAAGGATGACGACCTGTGATTAGAGGAGAGGCGACTTGTGAGTAGATGAGAGACGACCTTTCGGGACATGAGAGACGTCATGTGGCTTCATGAGAGACTTGGGTAAGTAGGGGAGACTAAAATAAAGGGAGAGGATGATTAATGATTCATGTATTTCTTGGCATGTTTAGGTTTGGCTGTAAGCCTTTTTTGTGAAAGGTATTTTTCGTCTTTTGATTTCGTTTTCCCCCATTTTTCTTTGGTTTGTCTATTTCTAGTTTGTTTGTTTGTGGACTTTTTCGTTTGTTTTTCACTATTTTTTTCTCTCTCTTTCTCTCTCTCTCTTTTCTCTCCTCTCTCTCTCTCTCTCTCTCTCTCTCTCTCTCTCTCTCTCTCTCTCTCTCTCTCTCTCTCTCTCTCCCTCCCTCCCTCTCCTCTCCCCTCTCCCTCTCTCTCCCTCTCCCTCTCCCTCTCCCTCTCCCTCTCCTCTCCCTTTCCCTCTCCCTCTCTCTCTCTCTCTCTCCCCTCTCTCTCTCTCTCTCCCCTCTCTCTCTCTCTCTCTCCCCTCTCTCTCTCTCTCCTCTCTCTCTCTCTCTCTCTCTCTCTCTCTCTCTCTCTCTCTCTCTCTCTCTCTCTCTCTCTCTCTCTCTCTCTCTCTCTCTCTCTCTTTCTCTCTCCCTCCCTCCCTCTCCCTCTCCCTCTCCCCTCT